GCGGAGAAGAAGACGCCTTGACATCATATCAAAAAATAAAAAAAAAGATTTGATTTTAATATCTAGAAAAGGGACTCTTAAAAGATTGTTTATTTTCTATTGGAGATGCGAATATGATTAAGATTTTTCATGTAAACTACTTTTTTGTGTTATATTTTTTTTTAATATATTGAATGATGAAAGTATTAAATATAAAATACTACCATTCATTATGACTACAGAGTTAAATAAATAATTTAAATGACTTATTATTTTTTTTTCTTTTAGTCAAACAACAACAACAGCAACAACAAGTCGATTATCATATTCTTCAAATAATATAGNATATAGATATCTCTATAACACCAATAGAACATAATGATCATAAAATAAATGTTTTAACATTTTTTGATTATATTATTAATCCAAATCTTTCAAGATCATTACAAAAAGAGCTTAAAGCTGCTAGACAATTAGGATTACTTGTTGGAGTATTTACTGTAACATGGTTACCATATTTTATATTATTTTTAATTGTTGCATGGTGTCATAGTTGTGTATCAGATACTGTTTTTACAATATCAATATGGCTTGGATATATAAATTCAACATTTAATCCACTTATTTATCCATTATGTAATACACATTTTCGTCATGCTTTTAAAAAAATTCTTTTTTGTAAACATGCAAAAGCAAAAATAACAAATCAAACTGCATTATCAGAACTTTATGCCTTACATTCAATACGTCGTCATCGATAAAATCTATTAATATCATTTTTATATGTTTATTTTCTATATTCTTTTGAAATTAATATCATGATATTTGAAGATTCTTTTCTTTTTTTTCAATTTTACAATGACAAAATGTCTTTGTGATAAAGAATACAGAGATTATCAATAATTATCTTCGTTTTTGTTTTTGTATTGTACGTGATTGAATTTCTATGAATTATTTTTCCTAATTGTTTGATATCTTTATTACATTTAATTAAAATTGGGATCATATTAAAAACAACTAAATTATCGTGCAAAATTTATAAACTATGACTATTATAAATATATGTTATATAGTCAGAGAAAAATGTCTACACCGCGTCATAATAAAAAAAAAAACAAATTGCTTTCTATTGTCAAAATATATTTGTAATATATAACTTCTTTTCGATTAATGTAAATAGTATATACGATAAATGTCATAGAAAGTGACAAATATTATTTTACTCTTCGTTTTTGTCAGTTCAATTATCATATTAACAAATTGTACTGGTCGATTTAATCTTTAAGTAAGATTCTAAGCGCGCATAATCCTTTCTTTCGGCAATTTTTCACATATACTGTTAAGTTTTCATTAAATTAACAGTTTAATTTGTTTATACTTTTCTATGTCAGTCGTATTCTAAATTTAATAGATTAATAATATTCTTTACAATGAAATCCTTTAAATATCAAAACTCGGCAATATTTAGACTATTTAAAATCTATAGTAGAAATTTGAGAGGATTCTATAAAGCTCTAGAATAGTAGTATTAATAGGACTGGATCGAATTGATTCAGTATTACGATAGATACTCATTAGTCGAATTTTAAAGTAAAATATAAAATTTTTCAACTTTTTTTTGTTTTGTTTTTGAAAATCGTATGTGATCCTTTTAATGGCTAAAACATTTTGCTCATGAATAGCTAATATATATATATATATAAAGTTTTAATGTCAATCTTTGTTTCACACGTCACAGCACGAGCTCATCTTATAAATTTGCTTCATTAATATAATAAGATTATTTAAGAGAAATAAGTAGGACATATTTTAATTCTTATATCAGTGACAGATTTAGAGGTAGGGAACGTTGCAGGTGATCGTCCCGTTTCAGAAAATATTTTATGATTTTTCCTGACAAAAAAGCTTCAAAACATGTTTTATAATCATAATCGCCTTTCATCATAAAAATTCTAAACCTGCCACTCTCATATATATCCGAAACAAAAAGCATTCACTTTTTCATTAGTTCATATCTCTACACAACTGACAACAAACTAAAAATGAAGCCTAAAATTCTTCTATAATATAAGAAAACACTAGAAAAACAAAACAAAACAATTTCTATGCTTGTGTAA